TTCCTCCAAGAAAGGTTAGCTTCTTTAGTGGAACATCAAGACCATTAAAAAGGAGAGACTATCATTAACACCTCCTAGACTGAAGAACAAGGAGCCGTTAAATCAATTGATTTTCTCTAGCTGCCTGAATTGTAATGCATCAGCTGCTGCACTATGGAGCAGGGACCAAAACAGGTGTTTCTATATTGGGCAGAAAAATCATCTTCCACTGCTTAATACATGCATCTAGTTTTGGGAGAACTGATTTTTTTGTGGGGAAAGGTGAATGTTGTATGTGATAAAATATTGGTAATTTTTTATTGTTAGTAACTGCTATTTGCAAATACACTTCAGCAGTCTTAATTCAGTTAACCTGTTTTTTTTTTTTTACATGTGAGCTTTCTTATTTGTCTCTTACGTTTAATTAGCGACCCAAAATCACTACATCAGAATAGAGTAGTTTGACTCACCCTTGAAAGCTAGAAGAAACAAGGTTTTCTAGTTCAATGTATGGGGGGACTAAGGACCCATAGCCAGATATTGATCCATCCTATTCAAATTCTTTAAAAAAATCTATTAATGCAAAAGCCGGATATGTCCTCTCTCTTGTTGTTGCTTTTTTATAGCTTATTCTTAAGAAAAGATGATGGCATGGTATAAAAGTAGATGCATTGATGGATTTCCAGGAACTTGAACAGGGGGTCAAAAGATCACAATTTGGTGTCTTATGTCTTAGATGCTTAATAGGTGGAATAGTGTATAGCTTTATTTTAATTATATATTTTTTAAAGTCATATTACATTTTCATTTTTCCTTACAATATGGAAAATGGAAAATATTGCAGAGAAGTCGTTGCTATGCTTTTGGAAAATAAGGGTTCCTAATGACTTAGTCTCCTACTTTCCTATTCCTACTTTGAATCACTATACAGCTGTCACCATACTACTATCACTGACCCCAGGGAGGGTTCTGCTTCAAACTGAGAACAGTGAATGACCTTTTTTGTGTATATGATTCTTACAAGTTGACTCTGCTTCATTATGGGAAAAAAATCTATGAAGATAGTGCATTTTCACTTTCTTAGCCATCTCTTTAAGGATCTTTGATGCACACAGAAATCCATTAACATCAGCTAAAGTTACTCATTTGCAGTGATGGAAGACTAGACCCTATTAAAATCCTCATGGTGGCTGTTAGTAATTTTTATGCAGCATATGCTAAATAGTGCTTTCAACATCCATAGCAATTCTGAAAATTCTCATCTTGTCTGATAAATTAGCAAACTTTAGGATTTAGCAAAGGTAATTATTACTCGCAGCCTGATAATATTAATCATGCAGAAAACATGCTATTTTTCACCGTAAGATTATATAGAGGTGTACTTTGGGGGCTTTGAAAGCTGCTCTTATTATAGGTGAATGAAGCCTTTTACACCAAGTATATATAGTTCTGTTTCATTAGACTTTGAAATGGTGTTGAAAGCACTAACTTTAAGTTATTTTTAATAATATAACACGGTACCTTAATTGCATGATTTCCATCATTTGAGTTTGGTGATGCTGGAATAGTGCTTATTTATTGCTTTAAGGGTACTGTTACAGTGTGTGTTCGTGAAACTAAATGGGATAGCACTTCCAATTAAAACATAATCATCAGGAAACAAAGATCCTCTGAAAGCCAGTTTAAACACTGAAAAAAAAAATTATCATCATCCATTTTTCTGACATATACTATGAATGATTTCTTCTTTTCTCGTTTGATTGGTGAAGAATATTAGATTCTGTTCCAGAAACCGGGGTTTGCTGGTCTTATTTTCAGGCCCCATTACAAGGGCATATTTATGATATAATCTCTATAAAGCCACTGCAAGTAATGTGCTTAGCAACACAATTATTAACATTTTCTTGAGTAGCATTAACTAAATGAAAAGGGGGAAAGTGTATTTGTCTTTAAATGTTTTAAATAAAATTCTGCTTGAATTGTGAAAATGAAGTACTCTATAAAACATCCTAGAATTCCCTGGTTGAAGGATGTGCCACATAATTAAAGAGCTGCTGTGAAAATTGATTGCAAGTGCTTATTTTCAGTTTTCTCCTTCTTATTATTAATGTAATTCCGTATCTAAGAGTCTAGATATATAATACCTTCTACCAGCATCTGATGGTCAGCACTTCCAAGTATAAAAGCATCATCTTGCTGAGGGTAGAAGTAGCTTTTGGGAACTATTTATTTTCCCTTTTTATGGAAATTGGGCAATTGAGCTTAATGGGAAATAGATTGTAATATGAAAGTTCAGTTGTGCCTTTTAGGAATGGCTGACGTTGATAGCAATGTACAGCTGAACTGCTGAAGGAGTAAACTTACCTGAACAGTAACTTCCCTTTATGTGCTCCTTCCCCATCTCTGTTGGTTGCTGCTGAAAGTTTGACCCACTTCCTCCTGCTCCATGTGGAGTATTTTTCTTCCCAGGAGGTAATAGGAGTTAGCAGACCATGGACTAGGGAGAGTCAGGGACCACAGCTGACTCATTCACTGCACACAAATGATAGAGGGAGGCTTTTTGTAGTCTCCCTTTGCCCATTTCTAGTGAAACTTGTCACAAGTTGCCCAGAAATTAGTAACCGTTTGGGAATGGGTGAACTATACCTTGCCACTGATTTTTAAGCAGAACTGGTCATGAAGAATTAACAGCTGGTAAGCCTTCCCCCTCTCATTGTTACACATCAGTTTAACCCCTATTCTTTCCTACAGTTTCTGCTGTGCTAATTCAGAATCAGTCTTTTGAAATGAGCTGGCCAATGCCTGTTTTTTTGTTTGGTTGGTTTTTGTTTTGTTTTTATAGCGAGATGGTCATTGTTTGCTAAATCCTCAGCTTGTGTACACAGCTTGTAGATCTACTGAAGCCAATGGAGCTGCTTCTGTTTATATCTGGCCCCAATGATGGAGTAGAAAGTAATTGCTCCAAAGCATTAGGAATGTGTAGTAGAGGTTAACATAGTCAGCAGGTTGTCACCAAGAGTAATAGATCAAATTCCACTCTATGCTATACTATGCAAGTCCAGTTGGCTTGGAGTTGGTGTAACTAAGATAAGAATTTGCCCCATTGAAAGGAAACAATCACTGCCATTGGTATAGCCCTCAATAAAAATGTTGTGGTTGCAGCATCTGTTAGAGGCCATGCAAGCTCGTTGCCTACCTTTGGGGTAAAGGGTGGAGTGACCCCAATAGCCAATCAGTTTGTCCTTACCACCCATTGGTAGGCAGCTGGAATAACCTGGGTGTCCTTGATGTTGTCTAACTTGCCATATGGTACATACTATAGTACAAGCTATTCATTTTTCTTACATCTATTGGCAACAGTAACTTATTAGCTTAATTCAAGTTACCAGTACTGGAGTTTTTGCTCCGTGGTTGTACTCCGGTCCCCAAGATTAAAAAACTTGCAGAGGGGTAATTCCCCTAAATGGTAAATATACCAGTACCTTTACTAAGGGAGGTCCATATCCCTTGATTTGCAAATCATTCAAGACATTCACCCAGAAGGCCAGGGACTCTCCAGTAAACCTTGATCTGATAGAGTGCTTAGTCTGAGAAGTTTCTGACTCAGAAGTGAACCAGCAAGAAGTTGTTGACTCTGCTGTAAAAATTCATGCTGCCAGCCCTCCATCTCCCAAGAGACACCGCCCTACAATCTCAAAGACTGAAAAGAGCTCACTGCTCAGTTGAAGACCCTCAGACTGATTCCAAATAACCACTGGAGCAGGCAATTATCTCTGCTGTGTACTCTTTGGCACTGAGCACTTTCTCCAATACTGGGTAAAAGGACAGGTCCAAATTGGCATCAAGGAAGACAGCATCCCATACATTATCAGCCTGGGCACAGATACAGCATTAATCAAAAATACTAGTTAGAGAATAACTACAGGGTGCCTATACATGAGTGCTGAGGTTGCTGTGATGCACTGGAATTCCAACGCATTGGAGCAGACTCAATTAATTGAGTCTGCTGGAGCATGGCAATTGCCATGCTCCAGCAGCCTCCTGTGTCTCATGTATCAGTGTCCCTGCACTTAAAAATGGCAGTGGGGGTGCTTTAACTAAAGCTTGTTGAATGAGCTTTAGTTCAAGCACCCCCGCCACCATTTTTAAGTGCAAGGATGCTGACACAGGAGACACAGTGGCACTTTAATTTGAGTGGCTCTTGGAAGTGCTCTAATTAAAGTTCTTTCCCCTTCCTCACCCCAACAGCATGTGTACAAATGCCCATAGTTACTAATTACTAAAATGCCTTCAACAAAAACACTGGTGCCTGACTCAAAAACAAATTCTGTGCCAATTCATATGATACCGATGCATTCGGTAAGGACTTGATTGGCACTGGCTTGTGGCACCAAGTAATATGCCACAGGCTCAATCAATACTAACTCAACTCATGGTGCCACACTGGCAGACACTACATTTTCTATATAACTATACAACTTCTATTCACACTGAGGCAGCAGGGCTTGCAACAGAACCAGATGCAGGCTGTGCCTGCACACACTACATTTTGGTGCACACATTACACTTAAGGGAGGTTTTACGGATAGCGCATAGGGCAAAGTTTGGCCCAGGACATATAATGTACGCAGCTGGTTATTTCTCAAATGAAGGCATTAGTTATTTAAATAGAAATATAAGCCATGGGTACCATGTATTGAAATCAGTGCAAAGACTTCATTGACAGCAGTAGATTTTGGCTGTAGCCCCACAGGTCTGAAAGGGAAAGAAAAGGGGTGAGGTGACAGCAGGCTGGACATGGAAGGCATGTGATCATCTTGCATGCTATTTAAGGGAAATACTGCTAAACTGGTTTGCATGGCTGGGACTCAAGCCAGAAGTACTTCTGAGCATACCAGCAGCTGCATGGTGCCTCCAGACTCCGTCACATGCACCTGCTGGTGTCTAGGACACACCATATTTAAGTCGGCCTAAAGAAAGCAAGTCGAGACAGACGCCAAAACATACAAAAACAACTTTTTTTTTATTCTGATTGCCAAATTATTTAAGGCAGGTATAAAAATGAAAGCATTCAATATACATTTTACATAAAATAAACTAGATTACAGCATAAAACAAGTAACCAGGCAATGGCATTAAAGTCTCTCTTCTAAAACTGGATAATTGTAAACATTAAAAAAAAGACTGCAGGACTATTCAAGTAATAGAACAATCACAGATGTCTTCTGGTATGCAGGCTATTGGGTTATTTGCCATTCAAGATTATCAAAAAAGACATTTCATTATTCACAGATGCTCATTATTTCCCCATTTAAAATCTATACATTATGTACAACACAGTTTTTGTGGTACTGGCAACCCCATGCCTTCCAAATGTATATCTCTCACAATACACAATTACAATGAAACAGTGAGTACAGTAACATTTTACACTGATGAATCTTAATAGGAGCCACCAAATAGACATCTAAATTGTACCAAAGTGTCATCATCACAGTTAGCCTCTCTGAAGGCTTGTGGGTAATATTAGAAGGGTATGCAAGGTTCCGGCACACTGATACATAACATTATTTATTTACAATTAAAAAGCAAAAAGAGGAGAAAAGAAACAAACAGCCTTTTGTGGTTAACACTTTCTAAACATGACAAATACATTTCTCATTTACTGTGTGGTTTGCAACTTAGCAGCAGACCCTGTGTGCGAGCCTGGTTACTGATACAAAAAAGTAAAGAATATATATATATATATATTTATATATATATACGCATATATATATATATAAAAAACAGAAGTCTAATTACAGCAACATTTGTTACTCTGATAAAATCTGCAATTTACAAAAATGAAATGACTGGTTTTTGCCTGCCATTAAGGCATTTCAAATTAACACCATGGAACTGATGTTTGTAATAAAGCGCTTCCTCATGTGATCCAGTCACATGACAATGTACATTTCCAAGCTCATCATTCTCTGGAAAAGAAAGAAAACAGAAGTTTTTAATACATTGTCCCTCTTCTATCATTTACTGAACACAGAAAATGCATAAAAACCAAAAAATAATAAATTTACATTGGAAAACTCTAATGGTCAAAGATCATGAATCGGGTCTCCTTAACCATGGTGAGATGTTTTAAAGTAATAGAGTTCTGAGGAGCTGTTCTCTGGTTTCTGAACCTTTAGGATCCACTTGGATCACATTTCTGGTTTTCCTTCCAACAGATATAACTTTGCTTTTTAATCAAATGAGAACAGATATTCTTGTACAGTAACTTGCCACCAGGACCTGGGGCTCTAAGAAAAACATCAGGCATCCTTGGAGTTGGGATAGTATCAAAGAATTTGTAATACCAGGTCAGATTTATCATGGAGGCACTGGTATAGACTCCACAGTTAGGCAGGATTGAACTTTTCACTTAAAACAGGATATTTATTACATACAAGGTTTTCTTTCCCTTTAGAGGTGGAAAAATAAATCCTACCTAAAAGCAAGCAAGTAATTAAAAGGCAAAGGCACAATTCTTATACAAGTTTTAAATGTAAAATAAAAGCATCTGAAAATTAGTGAGCTAGGCGCCCATTGGGACTACATAAGAGAAGTTTAGTCAGATAGTTCCCCCTCCACTACCTTTTAAATAATTGTAATTCTTCATTATATTTCATAATGGCCTAAACGTTGCCAAGACCTAAATGATATTCTATGAAAATCACAGAAGACAAGCAGTCTGTATCACTGATTAATTATCGACATTATGATTAAAGGACAACAGTAAAAGACATGTGTCATGTTAAGAAGAATAAAGCTACAATTAACCCTAAATCCCAACAACTGTTCTCTCCTCCATAAAAACTGCAATCTCTAGTGATGTAGACCCTCCAGACTAAGAAACCTATTATTTGCTTTCTCACCTCCTTATTAAGATGTCTATGTAAGTGTAATTCAAGATTTACTGGATATTTACCTTCTTTGTGCAGGAAACATACCAGATGCAGATGCCTGAGCAGCCACCTGCTGAGTGGCAACAAGGGCAGCAGACGTCAACCCTGAAGAAAAGGAGAAAGAAAAGAATGTGGATATATTTCTGGATTTTGTGGTGTTCAGGGAAATGGTAGTGATAGCCGTCAGTGCAAAACAACATGAACCACAAACAGCAGCAAATCATTTTACAGCAAACACATATGTGAAATATTTCATGGAAGAAAGGTAAGACAACCTGCCTAGTCTGACCAATATGCCTGTTTACAATGTACTGAGCTCTCCTTAATAGGCATTTTACAAGAAAATATGGCATTCTACCTTATTGTATTCCTTTCCAAGCACTGCACTGCATGGTGCTAAATGGTTTGTATAAATTCCTGAATAGGAAGCTCAGTAGAAATAATGGAAACAACAAGAATCAAAAGTCACAGTGAATTACAGAAACGACATGCTAGCTGCTTGGAATACAATGCTTTCGTAATAACTTATCATTTTTACATTTTTCCTATTGAATGAGCATAATGCATCCCATAAGGCATATGGAATCACTGAATCAAAGTTAGAAATTTCAAGACTTTTTACACAGAAAAATGAATCCGAAGGCACTGAGTGAATATAATAAATTAATGTCATTTTAGCTGCAAATTATGCTAGTATGTACTTTGCTACATGGGAGTGAATCTGCTTTTTAATTCTGATAGAATACAATGTTAGGGAAAACAGTCAAAGACAGGTATAAATTAGGGAGAATGAACAATTTTTTTCTAGCGTCTTTTATTGTGTTTTTTCCCCCCCGTTTGCTATATTCACTTAAATACAAACAGTTCACATGCTATTTAGGAAGTTCAGGCTGTAAGAATCTCAAGGTTGACTGCAAAGTCCCAATTGTACATAAAAGTCTTCAAAATAAAACCGTCTCTCTCTTCTCCATTGTTTGCAGAAGACTAATTATGTAAGAGATTTATATATTTTTTAACTCCTTTGGGTCTTGCTAATCAGTGAGTGTCAGTTTGTATTATGACTCAAAATATTCATGCAAATGATATCAACAGTAATAAGTAAAATGTTAATAATTTGCTGACAATCAATTTTTTAATTCAAAGGCAGCATCACCCAGGAGCGAAAATATAGTTACAGTGTAATTTGATCGTACAGCTCCTACTCCTAGCCAAGTATTTTCAAGCCGTTTTCCTAAACCAGAAAAAGTGGTTTACATTTAAGTAAAGGTCGGTCTCTTTATTAAAAACACTTCACATTATAATTGCTACATCAATTAAATAGCATCACAACACAATGAACCTACAACTGGTAACCTCTGCTCACCTTGAAATGGGTCATATTGACCTGGGATAAGTGGGTAACCCATTCCAACGTGTGTGTGGTGGTGCGTATGAAGGTGCCGCTGACTAAAGGGGGAGTGACGATCCCGCTCTCTTTCTGCTTCCCGCTCACGCTCAGCTGCCGATTTTTCCACAGGCTAACAATAGAAAGATGAAAGAGAACTGATGTCATATATGTAAAAAAAAAAAAAAAAAAAAAAGTAGGGGAGGGGGTGCTTATTAACATGCATACATGCCCTGGTTATTTGGCAATAGCCTAAGGAACATTCAAACCATGGACCTGATTCTGCAGTTCACTCGAGCAGATCTGCACTACTCCCTGGGTGCCAAGCTATCTCATAACGAGGCACTGGAAGATTCCCCAAGGTACAGGGATTCTCAGGCAGCACTTAGCACCTTCAAGTCATAACCTCTCCCACAAGTTTTGTAGGAGGCCTGGTCTGGGCTCCCTTACGCTCAGCTGATCTATGGCTCTTCAGACAGTCTATTTGGGCTGCAGACAGAGAACATAAATTAACCCTCACATTTCACTAATTTGCCCTGGGGAACAAACCAGCACTCGACTGAGCTCAGGATCACGGGATTGCTTTTAAAAATAGAATTAGGGCCTGTGACATGCTTTCATCAATTAAAACGGGCACCAATTTATCTGAAAGCAAACTAACCATGTTTGCTCCGACATGGCGATCTTCAAGACAGATTTCAGTAATCTGCTACTAGAAGATATGGCTCTGCAGCAAGAATATTGAAGGGATATTACCAAATCCCACAGCTCAACTTCTCATTGCATTATCTGTTTCAAACAGGAGCATCCTGGCAAACTGCAATAAACTGTGCCATGCACCAACAGGTCTCTCTGAATCTAAATTTCCATATGAATCTATTTACGTAAGTTAAGAAGAATCTTAGCACAGAACTCTATTATATTTGTCACTTCCAATTTCTGCCAAGGACACACCTAATCTGAAATTATTTTCCTTCAAGTATTGGTATATTAAAAAGAAAAGAAAAGAAAAAAGAAAAAGAAGACAACTTGAATTCATAACATGACTCCAAATATAGGCAGTTTTTTAAGGTGATGTTCTCTCCCCTTTTCCTTTCCATCCCCCAATGTATGTATTGATCTTCAATAACAACAGAGGAAGCCTTACAGCAGGGGACTTGCTGCGGTACTGGTTGGCATGCTGCTGGAGCAAATCCAGTGCTTTAGATTCAGTGGTTGATTTCGCATTGATGCTAGGGCTGGTATTGACTTTCTCCGCCTCTTCTCTCCCTGACATCTTCCCATAAACAGGATAATGAAATCCTGGAGAGAGATAGGCCCCTGCAGATAAACAATAAATGCCACATCAAGTTACCGTGTTTACATTTTGGTTACACCAATGTGGGAATTCTAATACAGGGGATAACATCGGAAATGGATCATATGACTATAACATTGTATCTTTGTTCCTTGACTTTCTTCAGCTAATTCACCCTGATGAATGGGGGTTATAAAGAGGGTTGAGCTTAGAGCCATTTCAGACATTTATGGGTCCTCTTAAGTGAAAGGAATAGTAACTATAATGGTTCTGACAGTAAGTGCTTAGAATATTTTTATAGGCAATAAACTATCTGTCAGTCTCACAGCAATAGCAGACTGTCAAGGGTTGTGGAAACTGTAGTTGGGAACTCTGACAGTTCATAAAAGGAGCATCTTGTATTAAATCAGCTTTCATCTATAGAACTTTCCCTTGCATAAGAACAAGCAAAACAAATGTCATCCTTGAAGCTTCTAATTTAGCTGAGCTGCTAACTGCCGGTATTAAAATGCAGGCACTACTACACTGTTCGTGTGTAAATCTTTATTAAAGTGCAAAAGGTAGTTCCAGAATACATACCAGGATAGCTGTGCATTAGAACGGGAGAGACGGCACGGTATGCAGGATGGTTGGGATCATACATCTGTGGGTAAGGATAAGCGTGCAAGTACTGGATATATGACTGATGCTGACTCATCGGTGAGGAAACTGCAACTCTAGCACCTCGAGAGTCCTTCCAATTTACAGGAGTCTTTCGATCATCATTTTTTATCTTGCTGTCTTCCACTGATTGGGAATCAGAACGCTTGACCTCTTTAGGCTCCTCTTTAATGCTTGCTAATGAGACAGGAAGGTTCGGTACAGAACTTTCCTTATTAGGTGTTTTTCTAGGACTGTCCTCTTTTAACTTTTTCTCCCGATCAAGTTCTTCTGATTTTTGCTGATCAAGGTATTTGGGCTGATAGACATAATGATGCCATGTTCTTGAATCTGGGTCCTGCTGTAGAGAAGAAACACAATTTTATTTTTATTTTGTGTTTTGAAACGTTCATTATCAGTATTTCTCATCTCTGAGAAAATGCCTTTTTACAGCAGTTTTAATAATCCACCTAGATTACACATATTTTAGGAGAAACTTGCTTGTTACTAGGTCAGCATGCCTTTAAGCCAATATTACAATGTAATAACAATAAACTGTTACTAGAATGCAATAAAATTGCTCTATCTTATATCCTTCCCTGTGCCTTTGACTTGTTTAATCATAAAATGCATACATATGGTGTATTATAGTTCTGTGATCACACTCTACATAAAATACATATTTCAATTAATTTCTATAAAGAAATTTTCCTATCAGTGCGATAACACCCATAAATCACAATATTCAAGCTACTTAATGTTATGTCAGAACATTCACATTACCTGGAATGATAAACCTGAAAAATGGATGTCTCTAAAAAGGTAGTTATAGCAGCTCTGATCTTGCAAACAGTTACATATTAAATGTATGTTAGACATTTAGGTACTTCCATTCAACTCAGTGGGACTATCTGCACATGTAGAATTATAAATGTGCACAAATATTTGTAGGATGAAGGCCAGGCATGAGAAATGCACAACTATTACAAATCAATTTGCAAACATGTTATAAAGTTCCTGATTTCTCTGCAGGGTGACATAAAACATAACTATCTTTATTGAACATTAATGAAAAGATGCTCTTTTCTATGTAAGGCATACATAGCTGATTATTTTGTTTTGTACAACAGTCAACCTTCATAGCATAAAAAACAATGATAGATTAATTTAATAACCATTGATGATTTAGTTGAAATAGTCAACTGAGTGTTTAGAAATCTTCTCAAATCTTTAGATAGTACCTACCATCTACTTTCTACTTGCTATCTAGTTCCATAATCCTCTTTCTCTTGACCCCATCCTATCCTGAAAGCCAGTTTGTGAATGGGGAATCTAGGATGCACCAAATGTCAGAATGTGAAGCATCTATTGCTGAAATACTGATCTGCAGTAGAGATACATTAATATCATGGAGTGTACACTTGAATGAAGTGTATTCCTTCAGGCAGTCCAGGACCTGGGAAGGACAGGCATCACCACTGGATGAAATCCTGACTTCAATGAAATCAATGGGCCCGTGATTTTATCCACTGTGTAGGCCTGTTTTGCCTTAGACTTCAGCTGAAGGGTGTATGAGCAGAGACAGGGAAGGATGCTCCCTTAACTGTTTTGGAAAGGTCAAATTAAGTTGGGATAAAACAGGTGAGCTTCAAGTCAGCTCTTCAAAGATCTGCTCATCCATCTTTAATAAATGTAAACTGGCATTAAAAAAAAAAGTAAACTACTCTTCAAATCTATTTTAAGCTCATTCACAACAAAGCATGCTTATCTTGTTTAAAATTCCAGTTTTCTGAACTAAGCAGAATAACTGTGTGCAATGTTATTTCTACATGTAAAATATGGATTATGTATAATTAAGATTCTTTTTTAATGAATTAATTTTTAAAACCTGGATTCTGTCACCCTCCACTGGATATATCCTCCCTCTTCTACAGCCCTATGAAAAGCAATAATATGCGTACTCAAGGGATGAGGAGTACTGCTCAGTGTGAGAAAGGAGGGCAAAATTAGCCCTCAGGAAAGACAGGAAAATGCAATCCAAAATTACATCAGAAAAGCCTGTGTGTACAGTTTAAGAAAAGTTCAAGTTACAGTGACCTCACCTGTTTAAATCGTGTGGTAGGATCTACTCCAGTCTGTTTCATAGAGTCCATGACAGACTTCATTTCCACAGCTTCCTTTATAAGCTGGTGGTTTTCCATTTGTTTGGCTTTGAAGCTATCTGACTGAAGCTGTTGCTGGTGACTGGAAAGAATCTGTGACTTGCTTGTCTCTTCCGTTTTGTTAGGGACTGATGACCCTATTTTACCATTATTTTTGCTTGACTCTGGAGTTGAAGGCGCCTTTGAGATAGTAGCAGATGGGATATTTTTCTGCTTGTTATCATCCTTTCCTAGCTCCTTTAATGGGGGTTCAGTCTTTCTTTCACAGTCTCTCCCTGCTTGTGTTATTTTCTGTTCTGTCAGTCTCTGGTCCTCATAATATTTTTCATACTGCTGCCTGTAAGCAGGGTTGGAGGCCATTAAGGACTTTTGGTCCATGTAAAGCCCATAGGCATACTGTCCATAATAAAGTGACTGGGCAAGTGCAGGATGTCTTTGAGTTATTACTGACTGGTGTTGTGGCTGTAAATTAGAATTGGGTTCATTTTTCTTGGAATCTGGTGGTTCTGCCTTCTCTTTCTTTTCAGCCTCTTCCTCACTCTCCTTTTTGATCTTTAGCCCCTGTTGGGCACTGCTGTTCCCAGCTGCAGGGGTGCTGACCTGTCCAGAGTGCATGTAACTTGGAGAATAATAAGGATCGTAGCCATGGTAATAGGGAGAATGGGACTCTTTTGCTTGTGATGATTGTGCTGTGGTTGAAGAATGCCCTTTTACAACACTGTCCTTATTAGAAATAATATCTGAAGGAGAGCTGGCCTTGGACCTCATGCCCTCTGACCTGCTGTCAGAACCACCGTCATCAGCAGCATCAGAAATATCTGAGTAAGCAGGGCTGTTGGTTTTAGCAGTTGCACTATCTGCACCATTTTGTGTCAACACATGCAGTGGCGCCATAGAAGATTGTCCATTCACCAAAGTGCTGCATTCCATTCTGGAGGCACTCCCTATAGAAGGGCTGGGTGCATTGTCTGTGAAAGTGTAAACCTTATCAGCTTCGGCTTTAATACTTGCCATCCTGCTCTCTTGAGACTCTGACAGTCCATTAGCTAGCACTTCATTCTTGTTGAGATGGTCCTTTAAAAAATGTCCAGATAAATCTTTCCCAGACCCTTTTGAATCCTCTAGCTTTCCCAGCTTAGAATCCATTTTAGGACTTCCAGTCTCTTTGCTTTCTTTGTCTTTTAGCTTTCTCTTCTCCTTTTTCTTTTTATCTTTGAGTGATGTGAGAGCAGGGTTTACAGTGCTTGGCTCTCCCATAATTGTGGGCTTTGGTTGAATAGGTTTTAACGGAGGGCTCTTTGGTGTAGCCTGAACAACAGTAGTTGTTAGTGAGGGCAATCCTGGTATTGTCCCTGTAGTGGTGGTTGTAAAGGCCGTAGTGGGTATAGCTATTAATTGGGGAGGAGTAGGAGCTGGAGCAGGGGCAATGGGTCTGGCTGTTTTAAGTTTTGAAAGGTTTTTATCCACTTTGCAATTAGTAGCTTTTTTGCCTTTGTCTTTATCCCCCAGATTTTTCTTGTCTATTAACCCTTCAGCTTCCAGTTTGGGCATTTCAGTAGCCAAACTACTGTCTGCTACTGAGCAATTGTCCAATGTGGCTGCCATATTAGAAATTACAGGGAGGCTGTTCAGTTCACTGTTCAGACCCTTCTTTTTCCCAGAATTCTTGCCTGTTTTAGAATTGATAACTGAACTTGGGCCATTATTCGTCAACTCCCTTTTCCCCTTGGGTGTCCCAGGGGTACTAAGGGAGCAAGGAGATGTTGGTGCTTTTAGAGGATCAAAACTTGATAAACTTGTGCTTGGCTCACTGCATTCAAGTGCCACATTACTTAATGCTTCCTCACAGTCTGAAATCTTGTCTTCACTGTCAGGCTCAAACTCCAGTTTGTTTTCTGGATCTAAATGTGCATGAGCCTGGTGGTACCGTAGTCCATTGATGTGCTTGTACTTTTTGTTGCAGTTGGGGTGAGGGCAGTCAATCAACACTGGAGAAGAGCACCCTTGGTCCAAAAAAGTACTCTCAGGTTTCCCCTGTGGGGTGGTCGGAGTGCTTCTAGAATTGGTACGAACACGTTTGCCAGATTTATTGTCCTCTGAACTGGAGTTCAAATCTAGCTCCATTGGAGGCTTGTTTTTCCTTTTATTTGTGGATGAGGGGCTGGCTTTGACATCCTCCACTGCACAATTTGGGGGTGTCCTACGTCCACTTGAGTTAAGGCTACCCCGCCTTCCCTTCCCATTGGCACCGCCTCTGTTCTTATTCTGCAGTCCTCTTGCTTCTGTAAAGCTAGTGTCATTTCCAGGTGCAACTGCAGCTGCAGCAGACCTTGCTCGCTTTCCTCTGCCCCGGCCGCCTCGCATTTCCAGGTCACTCGTCGGTGATTCACAAAACCTATGTAAACAAGAACAGATGTCAGAACAGATAGACTGAAAAATTATCACCAGAAACCAGGAAACAAACACATGAAAACTAGGCAGCTTCATGCAACAGCCTTAGCAATACTGCGAGGGGAAGGACGTCCCCTTTCAAATAGGAATACATCCAGCACAAATAAAATGTCATTAAAGAACATTTCCTCTACCGTATTCTTAAGAGAGAGAAAATATTCTAAACATCCAAGAAAATACTTTAAATTCACTCAAATTCAGTTTAATTCTCCATATATTTTCCCATTCATGAAGCAAAAGGAAATTAAAAAATCCCACCTCAATGTCTCCATTTACAGTGTGCAATAGAGAATTACTCATTTCTTTGCTGTCTGGTTTCAATTATATACAGTTGTTTTTTATTAATCTAGGCACAGTTTCTTGCTAGAGATTGAAGGAGAAAGGAGAGAAAAAGCAGATCTAGAATGACTGCCTACCTGGGGGGGGCCCAGTCATGTTTTGTGCAGTCCAGCAGTGTCCCGACATAAGTCTTGTTCCGCCATGTAACATTTACCACTAGGACACCTGCAGGTGGGAGAGAAACAAGCATTATCACAGTTAGAACAACAACTTTTTCTTTTCTTTTTTATCTTAAGAGAGAGCTCCATTCTCATTTTTTTTTCAAGTACTGTGGTCTATACTCTTCCTCTTTTGATTTCACTGACCCCAAGTTAAAACCCACAGGAAAAAGAGAGACAGAGAGAGACAGAGTGAGTATCTGCATGCGTGCGTGCATGTGTGAGAGAGAGTGCAATCAAGATGCAGCCGACAGAAGGAAATGGTTTTTTGCCATGTCCTGCTGTAAAACAGCAACGCTCACCTCTTAATTTTGCTATTATTACACATAATTGCTTTCGCTTGGCAGCCAGCCAGCATAAACTGAGTACCAGTTACTAGTGCTTAAATCAGTAGGTGACTGAAAAGAATCGGCTTTGTTTTCAGTGATACAACAATGGTGACATATCTGAATGCACACATATAGACAAGGTTTGTTATGCAGAGATAGGAACACTGGGCTAGGAGGGACCTCCTGGGTTGTCCAGTTCAGTCCTCAAAATATGTACAAGTTATATATTGTCTACATTCTCTCACCAACTGTGAACCTTGCAATTCACACATCTGCGATGAAAATAGGAAAGCGTTTTAGAAAAAATACTATTTTAAAGAAAGTGCTATGCCAGTTTTAGTGTAATTGATTCTTCTGTTAAAAATTAAATAAACCTGCTCAACAAATGCAGGCTTAGAATTTTGCTCTCTGAAAAACAAATGTACTATGTATGAATTGTAAGGGCTTTAAAAAAAATGGAGTTTCATTTGAAACCATTCAGCTTTTCTCTCACCCATTTTTCAGAGACAATTTATAATCATGTTTGTGGACTAGTCGACATAATTACACCTTTAATTCAATAACTACTGTAGATAAACACAAGGTAATATTCTGAACCAATTCTCATTTCTTTTTAGAACGTACACAATGGAGTGAACGTACGCTTTTTCCACCATGGCAGAAAAGGCGGCTTGGTGCAAAATGCTACCAGGTTCACTGAAATTTGTTTTAAAAGAACTAAATATTGATTGCAAACCCCAACTCCCTGTTTTGTTTTTCTCCAAGCTCCCCTTGTCTTAGCTCTAGCTTTTCTACAATGGAAATAATAATGGCACTGTGCCAAAATGTTTCTAGCCTGTCTGCTGGCTTTGTGTTAACAGTGCGATTTCTAATTTTGCACTAAAGCTATCCCACTCTGCAGCACCAATGTAAAGTAAACATGTAACCTGCAGCTTATTTCCTCAGGGCCCTTTTAACAGCAGGAAAGTATTTGAAGTGCTGTTAGCTAAAGTACTAGGGAAGAAGGGATTTCCTTGAAAAATTCTCAATACCACATTTGAAAATGGTTCCCTGTATGGTTTTACGTTGCTATTATTACAAGGTGACAGTAAAATTCTATATATTGAGGCAACTTGGTATAAAGGGCAAAAGATAAACCAATCTTGAACCATGATTACAAGCAGGCTTCCAACAAACGGAGGATTCATCCAAAATAGCTATTAGGGCAATCGATTAAAAATAAGTCTATTTTTAAGATCTCTTTTTTTCCCTTTCTATTAACCAGCTTAATAGCTGGGAAAATACATTTTATTCCCATGCCCTTAGAAGAAAAAACAAACACCTGAAAAAGCAGGGGGGGGGGGGGGGGGGGGGG